GGGCAGGAGCCAGGCCGGGCACAGGCCGCTAGGTACACACACCAAGTCGCAACTGGGTCCTTCGTCAGCAGCTAGCGCCCCATTAGCTTTCCCCAACAGAAAAAAATCATGTGTTAAAGGTCTTTATGGGGGGGACAGGGGGAGGGGGGAGAGCAGGGAAACCGCAAGACGCTCTCCCTCTCTCCATGGCAGCACACCCGCTTGCTCAAGAGAGTCGTGTGAGAGGCCTAAAGAGCAGAGAGAATGTCGGGGCCCTAGGGACGTGCCCAATGGGGCATGCAGGTGGCCTCCAGCACCTGTGTGACAAAGGGGTGACGTTACTGTGACAACACAGGGCACCAAGGCTCACTGAATCTCACTGTTAGGAATTTCCCACAAAGCTGGGCTGCACAAAATCAAACTAAAGCCAAGCTTTGGCACCCGAAGGGGACGGGGGTAACCATGCCTGTTTTGTGCAGTCTGTACTACTTTTACTCTTCTGTCTGACAGCAGGACGGTCAGCACTACTGTCCATGTTGACTAAACAGGTCGTCGAAATAACGAACGGTGCTGCCTTTGTGCTGCATTACATCGTAGCTCTGTATTATACCCAACCTGTATTACACAGAAGAGATGCAACATGAGAACTGTAGAGGCAGGCTGTTAACAGGGACAAAAGCGTACACACAGAAAGAGCCTGATTTAATGAGCTCTTCGGGAGCTATAAAAGACAAAGGCGATTTGTTTGCCATGGTACCCTGCATGGCAAAGAGTCAACACAGAGACATGTAAAGGCTCTCTGCTTTCCCTAGCACATCCCTGGACCACATTCTGGATTAGTATGAAAAAAAGCCAGTCTGCTGCCCTCTAGTGGGCAAAACAGGAGTACGCCAAAAATTGCACTTGGCACAGCAAGACACAGAACCTGTGAGGCTGTAAACTTCAAGCTTGGGAGAATTAGAGACCCGGAGGTACTCAGCGATCTGAGGTTTTCATGTGTTAAACTGCAAACTGGGACTAACATGGTCTTCGCTCCACACTGGATAACCGAAATTTTACCACTAATTAGTACATAATGATCATCTCGAAGCAGGGGACTGTGACGCCGGGAAGAAGCACAGTTGCATGGGAATCCCACTGCCGCTAACTTCAGGTAAGCCTCTCAGGTGGAGCTGATGTGGGCGATGAGTCACACCACTAGGGGGAGGCATGTACTCTCAAGGTAATGCTTCCCTCCAGCTCACCAGCTGCCTGAATGCTGCTAGCTTAGGTAACTAGCTAGTATAAGAGCTCCCCCCCATACTTAGATGTTCGGCAGCACTTCCAGAGAGGAAGGTACTTATGTTTGACAGTGTCTTTGTACCTCAATGCACACATGGATCTACCCAACCTTTAACCTGACAGCTCTCTCTGCCTGATGATTATACAGAGAACTACTGTGGATCCTGATAGAAAAGTGACAGATCACTTACATGCTGGAAGGGGGGGCAGAGGTGAAGCCTATGTCACTCTGGGGCGGCTGATCAGGGCACACAAAGCTTGGAGCAGCAACAACTCTGCTGCTCACAAAAAGACTGGCTTCCGCATGGACTTCATTAACACTGAGACTTACATTTGTGCTCATCTGATTTTGCAAAATTATAAATAGCAATACTGTTCTGTTAAAGTATCCAAAACATCACGGTTGGGGGGGGGGGGCACTGCAAGTTTTTTGGAATGTGCACAGAAAAAAGTGCAGGGGGGGGGCCCCAGCAGGGAATGCCTGCTATGGAGACGTGGCTCTCTTATGCAGCCTGGATTTCACCCGGTTCCCAACCTGACGCTCACTTAATCTCCCATCTGAAACGACCCGTACACCACTTATCGAGCCCCTGGCAGAGTGTGCTATGAGTGTTAAATGCAGTGGGGGTGTCCCTCTCCTCTAAGGGGGCAGAAACTCCCCAGAAGGAGGCCCACTGAAGCCCTGCCCTCTGGAAACCATTTGGATGGAGCGAGTAGCTCCCGTGACAGAGAAAATGCCCTTTATTTAACAGGAAATAAAAGCGCGGCCTAGATGATAATGAAAATCGGGTGAATCGGGTCGTAATTTAATTACACATAGACAGATGAATTTCTGACTGACTAGCCCTGAAAGTCCTATTCTTTAGTTTGTCCTTGGGAATTAGGCCACTTTGCCAGTATTTCCAGTTAAAGAGAGAGAATGAGAGAGAGAGAGAGAGAGAGAGAGAGAGAGAGAGAGCGAGCGAGAACATTACAATTCAGAGTATCAACACCAAGGTTTATACTAGGGAGTTTAAAAACAACTTTGCAGCTCTAGGACTCGCAGAGTGGCCAAGGGGCCGAAGGCTTCTCCCTCAAAAAGAGCCAATTCAAATACTGTTCACAAAAAGCAATTTTACTCATGTTTAAAAAAAACAAACAAACACAAAAAACAAAATGTGAAGTAAAATATAAACTGGGTGAAATAAAACAATAAAATACCAATTTCTGATTAATCTGGCAATGAGAGGACAAAATTTGACCACCTGAAGGCAAAAGAACACATGACTGGACCTCAACCCAGGCTTCGTCAAAGATTGTCACAGATAAAGGGCTATGTGAGAATGGAAGCTGATCACATCATCTTTGCACATCACAGGCAGGGGCGGCCAGGGCAGCCAGACGAGAATCGGGGTTACAGAACCCCGACCACCAGGGAACCGGGAGCCACAAAAGAAGCAGGGGTGAAGGAAAGGAGTGCATCAGAACTCCCTCCTAAAGACACTGCAGATTTGGCTTATAAATTATGGAGGGGGGGGGGGAAGTTTGAGGGAAAAAGTGAAGTACTGGACATGTTAGCTAAAAACTCTTAATAGCTGTTTGACTGTAGTAGAACAGTGTATTAAGATTTTGACAAAGAGACTACAAATAAGCATTTTTTTGAAGTGTAGTCGAGTGTAGTCATGTTACACCAGTTACTTAGATACTATGATGCTGAGCAGAAAGATGCTCCATCTGCTGGGACCCAGAGGTAAAGCAGGGGCACGGCAGGGCATACCTGTGTGGTGGCCACTCTGAAGGTCGTTGCAGTCGTGGGGGTCACAGGTCGAGGAGAGATACTGTTGTGAGCCTGACCCTGAGCTTGGGCTTGAGCCTGAGCCTGAGCCTGAGCCTGGGCCTGGGCCTGGGCCTGGGCCTGAGCTTGAGCCAGAGCCTGCTGAGGAACCATCACCAGCTGCCCCATCTCAGTACGCACCAACACCATGCCTAGGACAAAGAGAAGAGTCAAAGCAGGACCCGTCAGAAGAGTCACGGCATGATCAAAGACGGGTAACCTCCAAAAGCACAGGCGGCACCTGAGGAATATGTATGGAAGAAATGATGCGCTCTGATGGAGAAAGAACTGCAGCTCACGAGCAAGCCAGGGCTGCCTGGCGTTCAAAAGGCTGCTGACATGCTGTGATCACATGCTGTCACAGATCTCAGAGCTTCGGCGGCCAGAAGGAGCATCAATCATCAGCTGGAAATACGTGCTTCTGAACTGGATTTTTGGTGGACCTGCCCGTTATTTGCACCTGTGACTGCAGGTTTACCAGTGGAATTCGCTGTCCAGGGTGTTAACCCAACACCACAGCAGCTGATCAGATCTGTCAGTATTTCACATCATTCTAAATAATGGTGCTGAATGGAATCCCAACATCCTCCACATTACTGTGTCACACGGAGCCGTTTGGCTCACTGGAATGAAGTCTAAAAGTCAGACAGTCTGAACTTTTACTTTTCATACGTCGGTAGTTAGACATAGCGATAGTAAAAAGCAACTGCGTCGCCATTCGGCGACAGGGACCATCAACACTGAGCTGCGCAAATTAAAAAGCCTCCATTTCCAACACCCATTTCCCACTGGGGAATCCTAGCTTGCACTGCCTTAAAAACGCTGCAATGAAGATAGGGGAATGAAAAAGGGATGAGTTTTACATAAAGCTATATCAGCTGTGCATCCACACTCAGAAACACCATAAACAGTTATGCTAATGCCTATTATCCTGCCTTGTTTTGGAGGAGAACAGTTTTTCTAACGCAAAAACAAGTGAAATCATTTAGTAACTGCCCAGATTTACACCACAACTTTCAGCAGCTTCTAAACATTTTACATTGTTACCACTTGTTTGTTATAAGGTCTATCGGCTTTCCCAAACCTTGCGAGGTCATTGACAGTTAAGCCCCATGCAGAACTTTCTAATTCCTTCAGGATGACTTTTAAAAAAATGGGTTGCTTAAACAATATTCCTAAAACGTGCAACAGTGCACCATGGGGAACCACTGGTGTAATTAGGGATTATTTCACTGGCAACGATAACTATGTGTAAGCAGGAACGGCGCCAGGGGTTTACAGCTGTTTTGGGCCTCGGCAACCACAACTCCAGGTGCAAACACAGTCAGACAGCAACCAGCAGGAAGAGCCGAGACATAAGCAAGATATTTTGCCCCCAAAATCACCGTCAGCCTGCTAGCAAGTGGCAACAATGCCCCACCTAATAGGGAAAACACTTGTCAGCTATTTGAACATGTTTTTTCCTTAAACAGTATACATACTTAAATCAGTGTTTAAGAAATGTATTACAGAGCACTTTAAAACCATCCAAATGGAGGGAAGGGGAAACAAATAAGCTTCACATTAATACGAGAGGCGAGGAGGATACCAAAGCTGACAGGCCACTCCAAACAAGAAGCATACAGCACATTAACCGGCGCTGCTCTGACAGGATTCACGGCCCACACTGCCGGGCTGGGCCGGGCCGCACCGTGCGCTGCCTTGCTCCACGCACAGGCAATACTTGCCAAATGATGATTATTTTCTGTTATTTGCCCACCAAACAGATGCCCACCGAGGGCCACCGGGGGAGCCCCAGAGACCTCATCCAAAATCACATGGTCCAGACATAGCGCTCGCCCCTTTCAGCAGCGGCGCTGAGACATTCCCCTGACAACTGCGCATTCAGGTCACGTTTGCAAAGACCATGTGCTTTCAATCATATTCATGTGCCAAAAACAATCGCAATTATAATGTATTTATTAGTCATGATAACAGCTAGGAGCACAGCTAAGTGTGACTCAGCACAGGTTAGCCAGCATTAAGACTACATACAAAAATCCAATCAATTGCTCAACCAAATAATCCCACAGCCTTGGGACAAGCTTGGTTTTAAAAAGCACACTCTGAGAAGATGGGATCACACTCATCCACACTGTCACTGGTGTACTTTTAACATGACGAAACACCTAAACACACATCCAGACACGAACATCGGTGACATTAAAAAAAATGTTACAAAAACACAACCATGCATGAATTAAAAAGCTGTAGCATGTATAAGCAAAATTTCTGCATATTCAATGAAATATCTCCAGGCTTTATAACACAACAGAGCAATAAAACTGAAGACGTAAGACTGTTTGTACTATATCAGGGGTTCTCAAACTTTTTGATCAAAGGTCCACCTCAGATTTTTGTTGAAGGTCAAAGTCAGAGGTCTGGAATGATTTTCAATGCCAAAAAACATTTCATGAACTTTAATGAGTTAACAGTAACTTTTCGATACAGACATCAATATATAACAATAGTGGAAACTTAACGTAAAGACTGGTTTAACACTCTCTGATCGTTTCGACTAACTGTCATTACACATTTTGACGAGTTATGTTTGTGCAAAATTTAGAAATGTAGTGGTTCTACGCCGTATTTTTCACTTCAAACCACATTAAGCCTTTTTATGTTAACCATATTGATTCATAAGGTGCATTATCGGCTAGGTCTGGATTAGGTCATGGTTTGATCTGGACTTTGAGAACCCGTCTGCTAGATTACTGCTTTTCAATGGGTGCCTTTCTTACTTTTATGCTTACGTCTAATACTCCAGACACGCACACCCTACCAGATTCCTTTTATATTCAGCAGCTCGTCTTGGGCCCTTCTGGCTTAGTGGAACTACTACACCCGATTACCAATAAGAAGTGACAGCGGACAATCCATGAACGCGTGTTCAAAAGCAGAAAAGTTCCAGCGTGCCGCTGAGGTACTGATGCAACTTACTCCAATACATGCAGACTTACACACAAAAATACACACAGATAAAGCTCACTTACCATCCAAGAACATACAAATTTTAGTTTGAACAACTAGAGGCATCTTTAAAGAAAGATAACATTCTTAGCTTCTTAACTACACTGCCCCCTTCAGGACAGAGGGCAACAGTTAATCAGAAGCAGCCACTTATCACCAGTGTCTTATCACCAAGGTGATGCAGGTATTAATTAAAACAATGCTGGGAGGGTCCAATACATTACCAGTAACTGTCATTAGGAGTGTGTTTGTAGGTACATTTCATTTTACAACACCATAGCAACTTAAAGTTTACAAACCATATACTTTGCAATCCTGTATGGGATAGGCAGTATCAAGACAGATGGACCAACAGAGAAATGATGTAGCAGCAGCATAATACAGTAATTCATGCATTGATTTCATCTCTGGTAATAGCTGACATCTCTCGGCTCTTTGGGCACGAGCCACCTCAGTGGACAGCTCCACACATTTTGCACAGTGAGTACCACGGAAAGAGGCTGTCATAAACTGGGGGGGGGGGGGAATCTGTGGATTTCTGGGTGGTAGTACCGCTAATAACCAATAGCAGGGTTGAGCCCCACCATGTGTAAAAAGGACAGGTGAAATGATATCATGTGCTCTGTATGCCATTATCAGGCTGGGATAAGGTGACTGGTTAACTATAGTTATGTTAGAAACGCTGAAAGGGATAAAAGACTGAAAGAGAGGATTTTAGGTAAACTGATTAGTGATAGAAAAAATTTCGAGCACCTCTGTTTGTTATCAGCTGCTGACACTGACTGAATCAATACTGATAAACAACAGATCAGCGACCACAATTGTGACAATCTGCAATGTGAGACAGTCACCTTATCTGTGGGAAATATATATATAAAAAAATTGGCTCACATCGCATAATGCAATTAGGCAGATTTTCCACACCACTTATACATTGCACGTTATTTCTTTTACATGGAAGTGACTTCAACCTCTTAACCAGATTAGCTAAAACATGACTTCGGTGTGCCTGACCCCACGGTCCCTTTTGTTAACGAGACAGGTTCACAACCCATAATCCCAATAGTAACAAACCAGTTTCGCACCATGCCTGGGGCTGCGTTTTTAACTTCGGGATCGAGCTGTTAAGCTACCAAACCAGAGCCCATGCGGGAATCCCCTGGTCTGCTACTACTCACTAAGGTTACGTCAATTTATTTTGGCGGAACTCAGTAGTCAACTGAGATTTACAAACTGTAATGGTAAAAAAAAGAAAAGATCACGCTAGAATAAAATCCCAGAGATATCTGTGGAGTAGAGGGAGTTTTTGCTCACCTTGGGGGATTGTGAAACCCGGCGGCAGCTGAATGGTGGTGGGCTGCTGGGGGTGTCGGACGATCAACTGCGGCGCGACGATCCTTTGAGCGGCGCGAAGTTGCTGGGGCTGTGTCGGGGTGGCCATGGCGGGCGACGGAGCAGGGGTCCCAGGCCTTATCATTCCTACCGTAGTAGCAGCCGGTTGCGCCGCTATATTTAGCGTTGGTTTGCCCACAGCCGTTAGAGTTGCCGGACTACTGACCGCCGGCACCGAGTTGGCCACGGGACTCTGCTGGTGGCTGGTCGTGGGGTTAACAGCGGGAACAGGAGACACTACTGTGTTCACAGATGAATTGACCACGACGGGCGGGCTCGGCATGATCATTTTTGACTGTTCTGTAGTGTCCGACTTGTTCTCGCCGGCTTCTGCGCTCTTGCCGTCGTTAACTACCTCCGTGACGGCGGCGGGTGGCACTGTCCGCGGGCTCTGCTGGACCAGGGCCGAAACTGTCGTGCCATTTCCATTCTGAGCGATGCTGGCCATGATGTGACTGGGCAGCCTCTGCAGGGCAATGGTGGGTGTCCCCCGGCCAGCCAGCGTAACGGCGCTCTGCGATGCGGAGGCATCGGGTGCCGTGGTCGTGTTTGGCGCTGCTGTCAGACTCGAACTGGCCGCCGGGCTCGCGCTGTTCGCCAAAGGCGCCGCTCCGGCTCCGCGCGGAAAAGACGCAACACTGGCAGTGACAGCAGTGTTTGCAGGAGTGCTCACTAACGTTACCGCTCCGCCGTTGCCGTTCAAACTCTGCATTCCCGTGTGAGCAGTCCTTATCGTTGGAGTGAGATGATTTTTCAGAGGATCAGTCTCAGTAGTCACGGCTGTTGCCCCAGCTGACCCCAGAGCAGTACCTCTGTTGGCAGGGTTTAGGCTGGCCAGTGGAGGTGGCAAAGTTACCAGAGCAGATGCAGACAGTGTTGTGATATTAGATGCTCCATGTGATTGCAAGCCGCTACTGACGTTCACCCCGGTCCCAGAAGTGATGGAGGCTTCTTCGAAAGGCTGAATGGAATTAACCGAACACGGTGTCTTTTCGCTGCTAATTTCTTTTGAGTTGGGCTCCTGGTTTACCCCAGCTTTATGTTGTCCTTGTTGTTGCTGTTCTAATGTAGTGCCCACTTGGGCAGGTAGCGCTCTTCCTAAGTGGTGATTAGCAGCGCCTGTAGACCCAGCACTCCTAGTATCAGTATGGGGAGCGGCTGGATTGCTTTGGCCGACAAGCTGCGACTCCAGGGAACCCACTAAGTCGCTTACAGCTTTTTCGTCCACCTCGGAGAAGAGCATATCTTCCAGAGGGTCGGAGGCGCCCGCCATCTTTGATCTCCAGAACGCTGTCCAAATATTCACGTACTGTGTACGCATGCGTGTTGCTGGGCATTGTGGGAATGAATCTGACGTCAGAGCACCAAAATTCATTCTCTGCTTCACGATTTGCTTTACTTACAGGGGTATTCGGAAGGGGTGTAGGGGCTGCGGCTGGATGAATCCATTTTAACGTTGTTTTACGTATATAAATTGGCAGCTTTGTTGGAGAATAGACATGACGCGTTGCCACTTTTATTTAAACCTAAATTCTGTAAAGGCAATTACAATATGCTTTGTAAGCGCTCTGTGTCCTGTTTAATTTCATGCTGAATGCACGAAAACCAACCCAGATAAAAACAAATGTATGATTGCTTATATTTATTACCAATAAAACAAATATCGAACAGCAGTCAAAAACACTATAGATAAAAACAAACAAAACTATGTTCTCGCTACTGTATGCACCAGAAATTCTCCATGGGATCAATAAAGTTAATCTTATGGTTGAGACAAAATACCAGAAAAGGATAACATTTTCTCACACGTAAAAACGCCACAGGACCCAGTTGTAAATTGTAGTGAAAAATTTATTTAGAGATTTATTGCCGAAGCCTACATTCGCTTTTATTACAAACTCCACTTTCTCAGTCACTTGGTGCTCCATCATGACTAGTAAAAATCACGGATCGACTGATCAAAAATGTTCTCGCTCCCTAATTAATTCTTTATACAAAAATTTGTGAATATATAAAACTACATACAACGCTGTATATAATATTTATGTTGACATATTGCTAATTTGTTGAGTTTTCGGAAATTGTGCATACGACACCTGTATTGCTACCCCCAGCTGTGAAAAAGCGCGAGCGCGCATGCCGTCATTTCCGGCCTCAGTACTCGGAAACCGAGTTCAGACGGCAATTGGAACGCACTGAAAATGACGACGGCCATGTTGTTGTAGCAGCCGTTCCAAGGGAAGAGAAAGGACCGGAGGCCGAGAAAGCTAAGGAAAGCAAGAAAGATTCATAGAAGATTATCATTGGATATTAGCATAAGGGATCTGTTTTAATTATATTTCTAGTGCGTTTGCTGCAGACGAAGGCATCATGAGTGGGGGTACTCCTTACATCGGCAGCAAGATCAGCCTCATCTCGAAGGCCGAGATTCGCTACGAAGGAATATTATACACTATTGATACCGAAAACTCGACTGTCGCACTCGCCAAAGGTAATACCGTAAAAGGAATATTGATCTTAGTGTTACTGTGCTAAAATATCGATAACCGCAGTTGAGTACATGCAACGAATTAAATCTCTGATCTTTTAGCTAGCGGGCTAATAGCTTGCGTTGCATTGCCGCTTAAGCCTTAAGGTCTGGCTCGCGCAGCAAAAGTTAGTGATTCTCGCTCGTCGGCATTTTTTTCGTTTATATGTCCCAAGTTAAGTGGTTGAGTTGTTAAGTTGGTTCTTAATTTCATTGGTTATTGCGGTGTATCATAGCGTTTTGCGCAAGCTAACGTTGCCGAAGTAGACAGCCACGTTAACTCCCCACAGGGACGGTCGAAGCGGTTTCTAGAACAGAAGCCTTTGAAACATTTAAACTATTGAGCGCAAAGCCGAAGCATTGTAAATGTTTCATGAATGGCTAGTTTTAAATGTGCCGAAGTGTAATGATTTTGTATCACTTCTCATTTAAAGTTAACAGATTTGCACCGCGATCGTGTCTGTAAGGTTTTATCTGAATTTACAAATGCGCAATTTGAGTAGTTACGTGAACGCCGGACTGCTGAGCGAGATGTAACTGGATGTAACTTGCCATGTTTGCGTGGTCGGGTGGGCGATTATGTCTGCGGTAGGTTCTTTATAGCGTTAATTTGCATTTGTGTTTGATTTCCAGTGTGTTTTTTCTTGGATAATGTTTACTGTGTTTGTTCGCTTGAGTCAGTCCCGCTGCCGATTGTAGATGCGCAGAAATTGGCGGTCTGCCCTATCTCGCCTGCTGCATTTCTGATGTGCGCATTTACATTTTCGGGAGTAACATCATCTCTGTGACTCACGTGGCTTGATGTACAAGCGGCAGTGTGTCGTACCGGCACCCTGCAATCCAAACTTAACGGATCACCTAATTCCCATTACGAATATAACCCGAAGCATGTCAAAGTCCGTTTTAAGTATTCTGTAGTTTTATGCTGTATGGGTTACGTTAAGGAAATCCTAAAATCTGTTTTTAAAACTTTGATTTGTTCGATTTTTTCTTTTTGTTCAGCTCATGTCTGATCTGTAAGTCTTCCCATAACCTTTGTTATTGATTTTAAATCAAAGATGGATGGTTATAATTGTGCGGCCGTATGTAAATGAGTTCGACTACAAAATGGAATATGAAGTTAATTTTAAGCAGAATGGGTGTTTACAGTGTTCATTGGTCGTGTTTTCCAGTCAGTAAGGAACCTCCACATGTGGTCTAATTGATGCACATGCAACCGCATTTCCATTTCTGTTTCTCTGCTGGATGTGTTTTGGAGGTTTATATTGGATCTTGCATTGGTTTCTTCACAAAGATTTTGTTCACCCAATAAAAAGAGTGTTTCAAGATTAGCACCAAATTCTAAAGGGTTTCCTCCACTTCTGCTCTTCCCACTCTAGTGCGTTCCTTTGGTACAGAGGATCGGCCCACTGACAGACCAATCGCACCACGCGATGAGGTCTTTGAGTACATCATCTTCCGGGGGAGTGATATCAAAGACCTCACTGTTTGTGAGCCCCCTAAACCCACATGCTCTCTTCCTCAGGATCCCGCAATCGTCCAGGTGGGCTTGTTGGTGGGTGTGACTGGGGATGGCATTTGATTGTTATACTAGGAAATTTCCATACTTTGTTTATAGCTGTAGTATATCAGTTGTAAACGCCACAGTCAAAAACCATACTCTGAACTGGTTATTTTCCTGGGTTGTGGTTTGCTTGATTCCCTGTCTTTGGTATAAATATGTTTAATCTGTGTCTTTTCTCTCTCTGCTTTCAGTCTTCAGTTGGAACCAGCACAGCCGCAGCATCCTTCCAATCTGTTGGTTCCTACAGCCCATTTAACCGACCCCCAGTCCCCCCATACAACCAGTTTAATCCCAGCCCCATCGTGGCCCAGCAGTTTGGAGCTGTCGGTATAGGTGGGTGTTGGCGTTATTGATCTGCATTGGTTCTGCTTGTTTTCTCCCTCATTACATTGGTTGTCTTCCTTATGTGTTTTTTTTAGTGTCCTCGCAAATACTTGTTTAATTTTGGTTTACTGAAGTATCAATGGTTTGCTTAGTTGTCAAACTGAAGAACCTAGTTTTCAAAAATTCAGTGTTTGTAGCATAACACCCGTTCCATCCCATGTAAAGAAAGAATTCACTTTTGTAATCCCTCTGTTCTTAAATGTTTTCTATCAGAATGAGTAGGAATCTGGAAATTAAGTGCAGCATGCTTTGACCTGAAGGGATAGAAAGAGATTCCATGTATAAGTAATCTTCACTATTGCGGATGTGTTGTCCACGTGAAGACGAAGCATGGGAAGGAAGTCTGATTCCCTCTGCAGCATTGCCATGGCCAATCCTATAAATATATTGTTCCTTCCCATACAGGAAGTTCAGTGTCCCCCTTTGGTAGTGGCATTAGTCCCCCTGCACCCATGTCCTTGAGCAGTACCCTCTCGTCGTCCTTTCCCCCCGACACACGCACTCTGAATACAGCCATAATGGAAGGTAACGGCCTCGGAAAGCCAGTTTTGTTTGATGTCTTCCTCTGCTAGGCAGCGTTAACTTGGCATAACCCCTTGCTGCCAGAGGACACACACTCACAGGAGAACCTCTTTTTAACAATCAGGCGGTGATGGAAGGTACACTTGTATTACATAGTCCAGCAAGTAATCACGCTCAAATGAGGAGCCTGATACATACTAACTGTCTAACAGTGGGGGGAAACGGGACCCTGCATCTGCTTATTTTTGAACCCCCGTGGTGCCCCAAGGAGGGCATGCTTTTCTGCATGCTGGAGGCAGATGTTCTGAGGAACAGGGTGCGTGATGGTTTCCTTTTGATGACAGATTCTTTATTTGTTATGATCAGAGCTGCCGAAATATTATATTCAGGCCCCACGAAATGCTTCCGTTGTAAACCTCAGTTAAGTACCTGTTAGTAGTATAGTTGGCCCTGTTTTGGTTTTGACATACAGGCCCTTTAAGGCAGTGTTTCTCAATCCAGTCTTTGGGGATCCTCAGACAGTCGATGTTTTTGCTCCCTCCCTGCCACACGGTCCATGTTTTTGCTCCCTCCCTGCCACACGGTCCATGTTTTTGCTCCCTCCCTGCCACACGGTCCATGTTTTTGCTCCCTCCCTGCCACACGGTCCATGTTTTTGCTCCCTCCCTGCCACACGGTCCATTATTGCAAAAACGTGGATTGTCTGATGGCCCCGAAGGACCGGTTTGAGAAGCAGTACTTTAAGGTGCTCCCCGGTCCTGCAGGTCGCTCCAGCCCCCAGCTCACCACTCTGAGAAAGAGCCCGACCCTGGAGCAGGCTGTCCAGGCGGGTGCCCCTGCAGCCCCCGCTTTGCCCGTTGGACGCAGGAGCCCAGCACCTGCTCGGCCAGTGGTTATAGGCAACCAGAAGCCCCCGGATAACCAGGAGCAGAAGAGGGGTGAGCCTTCCGGCTGGCCCTGGTCAGCACTGCACACTGCTGCCACAGAGACCACTGTAGATAGAGTCCCTGCTGCTAGTCATTCCCAGTCTTTCACAGACCTGCCAGGTGAGATCTGGGTCAGTGCTTAACGGCTCGTTTCAGGCACTTGGCAGCCTCTAACTAGATGTGTAACATTAGCATGGAGCTAGCATCTTTGTACAGGAGTTTGGTATTCTTAGTTTAAATCATTTTTAGCTTTAAATGTTGCTTGGTGCTAAGTGTTGCTATGAGCATGCAGTAAAGCACAGCATTTCCACAGGCCCAGACAGTCAGAAGGTATCCAGACAGGACTCGGAGCAAGGCCGTGGTGACAACAGGGAGGCTGCCATGAGGCACACTGGTATGGATCCTTCCTGGCATGTGCAGCGACGCGCTCTAAGTTCTCGTTAAGCAAGTGATAACTTTTCCTGTGTTTCTCAATTGATGCCCCCGCTAATCACACCTGTTCTTTTATGCGAAAGCTCAGAGTTGTTGCTGTCATTTTTCTGGTTCTGTGACCAGCTTTTTGTTATGGTGTAGGCACTGGCAAAACAAGCTGGGTGTCTTAGCGTTGGCTGAAGCAACTAAGCAAACCATATGCACCCACAGCTGGGCCTCCTGTTGCCCGCCGGGGACGAGGTGGGGGCCACCGCGGGAGAGGGCGCTTTTCAGTGCGTCGGGACGGGCCCATGAAGTTTGAGAAGGACTTTGACTTTGAGAGTGCCAACGCTCAGTTCAACAAGGAAGAGATTGACCGAGAGTTCCAGAGCAAACTGAAACTCAAAGGTGATTCCCAAAAACTATGTAGGGATGTGTAACAACGTGTTGTGTAATAACTTGACAGAATGTAACAAATTAAATTATGATGGCGATAATGATAATACGGTAATTTTGCAATATAAAATGTCTATACATTTGTAACGTTTTGTCAATGTGGCGTTATTGCATAATGCGATGTTACGCGGTGTGTGACAGTGCATTATGTAGTGACGTCGTGTGATTTTACATTTATTACATAATGTTGCATTATTACATAATGCGCTGTTACAGGATGCCGTTATGGCACTGCTGGGGAGGGGGATGCCGCGGGAGTGTGTGCCTGAAGACTTAAGGGGGTCTACTGCATGCATTTTGAATGTTAACCAACTGGGCACTGTTCCCCCGTGCAGATGAGAAGCCAGAGAAGGCAGTGAATGGAGAGGATAAGGGTGACTCGGGGGTGGAGACACAGAACAGCGAAGGCAATGCTGAAGAAGAGGACCCTCTGGGTCCTAACTGCTACTATGACAAATCCAAATCCTTCTTCGACAACATCTCCTGTGACGACTCCAGGTACGCGGGATATACCTGGTTCTTCGAACGTGGGCAGAATGAGCGGGAGGAGCTTGTTTAATGTGCTTGGAATAACCTGTAGGGTCTGTCTTTGACAAGATGCCCGGGCTGCATGTAGCTTCACAGCAGTCGGTAAATGTATAGAAATTGTCTTTTAATAATCTATTCTCTGTAGGAAAGCATCTGAAAAATCTGGAGTGTCAGGCTTTCAGAGGTTAGTCTGATTTCTACACTTCTTGTTTCGTGATGTGACACAAGTTGTTCAGGCCCTTGATGCTGGCTGAAGGTGCGGGAGCTCCATCAGGGCAGTGCCGTGTCTGCGGGGCACCCGCAGGGGGCACCCTGAGGTAACCCATGTATTCCTGTATCGTCAGGGAGCGGAGGCAGACCTGGGCGGAGGAGCGGAGGATGAATGCCGAGACCTTTGGCATCCCGCTGAGGCAGAATCGTGGCCGTGGGGGCTACAGAGGCCGGGGGGGCGGTGGGTTCCGGGGGGGCCGGGGCCGTGCCGCCAGCAGAGGGTCCTTTGGGCCTCCGCGCGGCGGTGCTGGATTTCGCGGCAGCTTCAGAGGCGGCCGTGGCGGCAGGGAATTCTCGGATTTCGAGTACAGGGTATGTGTTCGCGACCCTTAAGCTGACATCGTTCTGTAGTGCTGTTATCCTATGTGCTGTTATCCTATGTGCTGTTAATCTTGGTGTTTTCCTCCCCCCAGAAGGACAATAAAGTGGCTGCATAGTGATCCTGGGAGACAAACACAAAATGAAATGTAGCTCTTCAATGGTCCGTTTTTCCTTTGACAAGAAGAATGAAGAAATGCATTTGCTGCATATCTGTCACCAGCACTGGAGTAGACTGCTTAACTTCAGAGTGTAAATGCAGTTTCTTTTACATTTCTAAAAATGCTATCTTTGAAAATGTTTTGCTTTATTTGGAATAATGATGGATGAGAACTTGTGTATAAATACCATACTTCAGTGGGACTTCAGTATTTTTGCATCAATGAGCTTTTCTTACTAAATCGTATTTGATAATGTTCTGTTGCGTGTAAAAATGTATGCAGAGACCCGCCGATGCTGTGAGAGTACTGATCACTGAAATAGCTTTTTTTTTTTTTTTGGATATATCCTATAATGTAACCTTAGGAGCACCAAATTCCTGTATATAGCCATTGGGGTCACAGTTGCAGGTCTTTGTGTTTTCTTATTCCACTGACATGATAGACTGTTGTTAAATCTACCAGCCACTTCTAGAGTTTACTGCCCTTTCATGTCTGACATCTGGCTTCGGTATCCCTGGGTAAATTATTTGGACGTGGTGTGCACAGTGAACAGTACACTTCCTGCTGCGAGACTATCATCGAGCTGCCGGTGGAGATTTCTGCATTGTCCCCCTTTACTTTGGCTTGCAATATGTTAATATTGGTAAACTGCTGATTTTCCTCAAGATCCATCCACACAGGCTGGTGAGGCCAGAAAAAGCTCAGAAATGCTTCCATGTGAGATCATTTCAGTTCTGCCAAAACAGCGATATCAAAATTGGCCATCTTAAGGATAGAGGCCTTTTTAATAAGTGTTATGAACAAATGTTCTGTATATTGTGACTATCACAGATACTGTGTTGAAGTTGGTTCATGCTTTTAACAGCAGACTTTTCTAAATTGAATGTAAACACTGATTGGACGTGTTGCCCAGCTGTTACCCAGTGACTGAGTAGCATTGAGTAGCTGTTCTATGTTAATGTTCAGACTGAACCCTTCAGGAAAGTGACTTTAACTTCCATCCTGAGATGACATGATTTGCTTTTCTGAGCTGACTGACATCCTGTGCGGATGAGTCTTGAGCTATAGTTAAACCTCGCTTTCAACATGTAAAGCTTTCCATTGTAATGTTTGATATTAGAGGTGTGTTTTTGGGTTTGATTCCCCATATGACAGGTGTTTAGTGAGTACAGGTGATCACTTTTTGCATAGGTGTGCCCAGCATCCACTATAAGACTGGATAGCTCTTTATCGACGTCATTTGGCTGCCTGCATTAGAAGTTGAACATTTTGGCAGAAGAAGCATTGGTTGTCTTGTGATCTTGTTCAGTCTTATGTATTTTCCATAATATTGAGTTAAATATCTTCAGTTTATTTTCATTTTAGAATTTATAAAGAATTCACTTGCCCAATATTACTACTTTTTTTGCAACCTGTTAAGTGCTGTAGACACGTAAACAGAGCTTCAAGGTCTGGTGTATTAAAGGGATCCAAAGATGGTGAAAGCGAGGTATTTTCAAATAGTTTGTGGGGAATCAAGGAGTGGTTCATTATTGTGGCCAATGGCTTATATAAAATACTGAAGTTGGAATGAATTGACAGATCCAAGTTTTTTTTTTTAAAGCACTACAATAGGGTGGACCTGTGGGTGAGGTTAGGGCAGCTAATGGAAAAAGCCACAAAATCATGACCCTGAAGAACTTGGGGGAAACGAGGCAGACGCTGGATTGTTTTGCAATAATTGTAAGTTACTGAATTGTCCCATGCTGAACCTGAGATCTGTACATAGTTCCCATGCGTTATCCTGTGACGGTTGACAGGTCAGTCACTCCTAACCTCTGGAATAATGGAGCAGATGCTGTTCCACAACTCAAGCAATTTAACAGCATGGTGTACTTCCAGTGTGCCTCAGCGGACTGGGGTTTTTACTCAAAAAAAAAAAAAAAGAATAAAAAGTTGTTCAATATCCAGTTTTCTTTCCCCCTTCATTACCTTTGCACTTGGGGTTGTACACTTGTGCTTGACTTGGCAGTTACAGAATGAGCCGTATAACTATTTACAATGACGTGGGTCTGGAAAAACATGGGTGTTTATTTTTAGTAATGGCATTCATTGCATAGCCAACAAGAATAGCGACCCACAGCTAAAACATTCAGAATGGTGTGATGTTGGAGGAGGGGGGGGGGCAACAATTCATGATAAAAAGCAGAAAACCTTGATGGGGTTAAGTCTAGAACTTGTCAGGTGACTTTCTGCCAGGTGACTTTTTATCTTGCATGAGGACTAAGGCTTCTATTGAGAAAAAATCATGTGCAGGGCATCAATCGAAATCATGATCCCTGCTCATAAAATCAGGAGTAAACACACTAGCTGAACACTTGAACTCTTCCAAATATAGATATATTAGGAAATCCCTTAACCAGCACCCAGCTCTGGACCAGGTCTCATATACATTTAAAACTCTGAATACCATTTCCAAAACGTATGAACTGCACATATAAATGTTACACATGAAACAGCACAATGGTCTTCTTGGGCCAAATTTGTACTTAAGATTCGCAGGTTGTGCAGAGACCATGATGAAAGGTAATGAACTCCGCGTGCACTGTGGCAAATGGGCTCGAGGAGACGTTTACACTTCTCAACTGCAGGGGGTGTAGTTGCAATTCAGAATCAGTGTCAACATGGTTTGTTCCCAGGATGCCTGCGACACTACATCATGAAAACGGCCACAAGCATTAAAGTGGTAGGAGCATATTAGAGAAATTTCCAAAGCCATTTTATTGTTAAATGTTAAATCTGTAATAAAGCAGATTTTCTTTAAACTTAAACACTTTCCAAAGGTAAAATACAAAAAGTACAGGTTCAGTCTCTAAAACTTAGCACAAACTGGTGCGTCTAGCGCATGGAAGCCTGAGCCGTATCACAAACCATCGGCACTTGACCAGGAAAAAAAAGAAACAAAAAAAAAAAACACCATGGGCAACAGCTAAGAAGCCGAGTGTGAGGAGACGAAGCTGACCAGCGTGATGTTCACAGCACCTAGTGTCATGAGCATGGCTGGAGTGTGCGCTGAGCTTGGCTAAGGCCATACCCTAATCATGCAAACCATCTTGCCTTGGATCATTTCAGCTGGACATCCCTCTTAAAATTTTTAACATTTAACCGATTGGATAATTTACCAAAGACGACATTCTGGGATTGCTGAAACAAACACACGACCTCAAAGTCACCTGTGCGTATTTTACGAGGATAGGTTACCACAGAAGCCCAATATCATAACTGAACACCAAAAAGGGTCAAAAATTTCTTTTTCAAATGATTAACTTCCATAACGAGGCAAGAATCAGCAAGGCAAGGAGTCTATTTTCTATTCAACATCTTCCTTTCTGGTAGATGCATCATGTTTGACAAATGCCTATAGTTAAAGGCTGTTTATGAATTATATCACAAAAAAAATTATACATGCGCATACTTCATATACGTGAATGCAAACATTCACCACTGAAACCTATATAAACATACGCATTGCAGTTGTCAGAAAGAATGACAGCAAATACAGGCAATATGGGCATCTGCAAAAACATTCAGGGCATTTAATACCACCCACTGCCACACAAACAGAAGAGATAAGGGCAAAACAGACACACCCTTCTTTCGTGATAATATGTTTAGTGTATATAATGGAATAACATTGGGTCACGTTTATATATGATTAAGAAAATGTGCTTTTTATGTGGGGGATTTCTGAAGCACATATAAATCGTACAACATTTAAGAAAATACAAAAATAAGATTAATACTGTCATACTTTTGTACAAGAAAATATTGTATTTAAATGAAAATATGATTTATTTTTTTCAAATAGAACTGCCATTTAAAAACAAGCTTGTCAATCTGAAAATAACAAAAAGATGAACTCTTAAGATTAGTTGCCTATTGTATACTAATTTCCCATATTTTCTTCACTGTGATCATCATCATCATCTTCATCATCATCAACTCCGCCTCCAACTGCAAGACCAGTCACCTTCAGAAAGACGTTCAGGCTGTAAACGTATAAACACTAACATGGCACATAGTTACTGCTTGTTGTGTCTTAACTCAGTGTTAGTTGGAAAAAGAAAAGAAAAAAGGTAGTGCATCTCTTTCAATTGACACCTCTGCAATTTACACAAACTGCAGCGAATGGTTATATTTTTGCTGAGCCCGCTCAAAGCCTTTCCTGTAATACAAATGCAAGTCAATTATATACTTCGGTCTGAATAATTTACAAGCTATTGAAGAGCATACATGTGCTGCAGCCTGGCTTCCCTCACACGGCAGTGACAGCCTAACCGTCACGCATTATATCGCAGTGCAGGGCCGAAGCCTGGCTAAACGAAGCATGGAGGCGAATCGAAAGCAAGGGACGGCCATGGAACTAAGCTGCTGTCACACCTGTGGCTCAAGTCGGTAGCGTTACATTCGAGGATGGGGGGGGGGGGGCACAGCAAATGGATGCTCATGGCACACTATCGCAGGGCTATTATGTGACAGGCCTATGTACACAGCTCCCGTCTGTCATGTCACGGGCACCATCACAGCACATGTGGAGCTGCTGAATCTCCAAGCAGCACATCTGGGTTCCTGGCTTGCCGTTGCATTCTGTGGGTACTTCGCCCCGGCCCCGCACCGCCCGCCCCCGCCTTGGCCGGCCTGGGCTCAGTACTGGTGCAGGTACGAGGGCCTGTGCTCCTGTTTCTGGGAAAAGGGCTTAAACGATTTGCTGGGCGGTTTGTGCTGGGGAGCCTGCTGCTGCTGCTGCTGCTGCATGCCGGACTGCGTTGTCTGCGGCTGCTGGGCCTGCTGGCGGCCATAAGGGAAGCCGGAGGAGGGGGAGCAGCCGCCGGGTGCCGACCACACGGTGGACTGCAGCACCTGCATTGAGTCGGCCCACTGGCTGTTGGGCACGGGCATGGAGTATAGGGAGGAGCGCGTGCTGGGCAGGGTGTTGGTGTGATGCGAAGGGTGCTGCCAGGGGGCTTTCGGTGGCCACGTCTTCATCTTACTGTCCTGCAGAGTGATGGAAAGGGGGGGGGACACAGTGAGAGAGGCAACCCCGATGCAGACACCCCTACAGACGAAACGCTGTGCCTCACTCTCACCTGACTGCTGTCGTCAGCTGGGTGGTGCAGGGCCGGGGAGGGGGTGCACACATCCTGCTCCCCGCAGCTGTGTTTTCTATAGACAGGGATGGAGGGGACAAATCACTGCGCAGCGCAAACAGCTCTCTGACATTCTTTCATGTTATCTGGACTACAGTCAGCTCATCTGGGCCCATATCGAGTCACCTGCATAAACAAGCCAAAAGGAAAACGGCAGAATCACAGCAGGACGCTGCGCTGGGAAGAGTAACTCCCTCCACTCTACCTTCTCTGCTTGACCGCCGCTACGAGGTCAGGCCCAGAAAACATGGAGAACAGGCTGTCCCCATTGGCGGAGGACGTCTCGTCGCTGGAGCTGGCCGAGTCTCCCTGATTGGCTGTCCAGCCGCTGTTCATAGCTTCCCTATTCAGACAGGAGCTCTGAATAAACCATTCTCAGAGGCACAGCTGAACATGAACCAGAACAAATCTGCTCGTTCCACACAGACGGTACCATATATTTACCAAAAATAAGCATACAGATTAGCTTCACACAGCACCACCTGCTGTGGGGTGGGTGCCAGTGTAAGCGTGAGCTCACCGTTCAGTGTAGTATTCTGCAGGGGCCCAGCCACCGTGGGCCTCGTCGGAGCCTGGCCAGTTGCCGTGGGCGTTGCTCGGGCGACGGATGTGCTGGGCTTGCCGTTTCTGCTGTATGGCCTGGTTCACCCCCGCCACGTAGCGGGCAAACTCTGGGTCGGAGCCAACTGCGTGTGGATAGGGAGAGCACACTATCAGGCTAGGCTTTTCTTATGCCGGTGCCCCCTGCAGCTCATTCGTCTAAGTCAGTGTTTCTCAAACCAGTCCTTGGGTACCCCTAGACAGTCCACATTTTTGCTCCCTCCCAGCTTAACAATCACATCTGTATCAATTTTATTTTAGCACATTTTCACAACATTACATTTTCTCAAAGCATTTTACATTATCCCTGCCCAGTGAGCAAGCCAGAGGTGAGCGTCAAAGAAAAACTCCCTAGAAGGAAGAAAGCTTGGAAGGAACCAGACTCAGACTGTACCAGGTATTCGGTATTTGTGATTGGCTGTGACCTGGGTGGGAGCAAAAATGTCTGAGCGTCCCTAGGACTGCTTTGAGAAGCACTGGTCTATGTTATACATATTTTGGCACAAATGAGGGCTGCCTGTCATGCGCAGTAAAATGGCTAGCGGGTAACGGAGCAGCTTGTACACCCATACACAGCCACAGCGCTGCTTAATTTGAAGCCCAGAACCCACCCGTCAGTAGGGAGCTCTTTGCTCGATACTCCCCACTCCATCCCCTACTGCACTATGCCCCAAATGCCCAGCAGCAGACCCTTAATATCGGGGGACATCAAATAAAAGACAGAACTGCTTTTTTAGCTGCGTTTACTTTTGGGTCACATCATACTGTACCAATCAAAGGCCTGGAAACACCTGCTTTTAATGCATTTGTCTGTATTTTAGCTGTTATTCACCTTACAGTAAATTTACAGGCCTCGAGGCAATGAAGTAATGCATATCACAAATCGCAACAACCAAGGGAAGTGTTCAACATCTCAAACCTCTCAAATTTGAGACCCTTCAAAATAGTCTCCTTTTGCTATGATGACAGCATCATAGACTCTCAGCATTCTTTCAACCAGCTTCCAGATGTAGCCACCTGGAATGCTTCTCCAACAGTCCTGAAGGAGTTTCCCAAGTTCTGGGCACAAGTAGACTATCTATACACCCATCGCTGAACAGTTTAGCCGGTCCGGGTCATTGGGTCAGACAATCTCAGCATTTTCACTGGTCACACAAACTGTTTTTGAACAATGAAAATGTGACTTTGAACAGCTGTGTGCATAACATTAGAAAAACAATTTGGAGATATATTTGGATAATTCTTACAGCTACTATATTTAAATAAGGTAACCTTTAAAATATAAAAGTTAGAGCAAATTAAATAGTTTTACATCTACAGGTGTTTAATCCTGAACACCATGCAGATAAGTATTTGATATCTGGTAAAATAATTTGGTAAAAAGTGAGCATAACTACCACTGCTCACATGCTGATGAATCAATCCATCTACTCTCTAACCGTGTATCTTGGTCGTGGTTGGGGGTGGGGGAGTGTGTAGTCTATTCCGGGCAGCATGGGGCACAAGGTAGGGATGCCCTTCTCTCATAGGCCACATAAGTGCACAAATTCACTGAACTGCATCTCTCTGGCTGCAGGACACCAGAGTGTACAGAGGAAGTCATGGAAAAAGCCATGCAGACTCCACACAGACTGAGGGGGGTGTGATTCAGACCACCAACCCTTGAACAAACGGTACTACACACTGAGCCACAAGCCGCCCCGGTCTCAAGCTGTTCAATTTAATTCAGTTTGTTGAATTCTAAATACACAGCCAAATAGTTTGACCACCATCTTGCCAGACGCTAACCACTGCATTATGAGATTCCAGTAGACTTTCCCAGTAAGTGGGTATATATGCCTTTAGTGGTATGAAGTGAAATATTTAGGGCACTACTACAAAACAGCTGAAATAGCAATTAGGGGGCTACCTTAAAACCTGTGCCCCAATTAAAGCAGCACTTGGTAATTGCACGTTGTGCTGCGCTAGTCACAGTTGCTGGCTGCCATCTCAGCAAAACACTTCTGCGACTGCAGCTGTTCTCCTTCCTCATTCTTGCGACGCTTACGGAACACGGCAAGTTTAAGGCAGCGGATGTGTAACCCACTGGGTAAACAAGAGCCTCCATGGCCAGATGACAGCCCTCGCTGCACGCTGAGCAGCCAAAGTGGGAACTCAGTGACTTGTTCATGGTCAAACGTCTTGGCTGTGCAGCCTGACGACCATGAAAGTCCCACGCGAACCTCTGGGCACTAAACCATCACAGGGCACACAGCATTCATACCCCTGGTATTTCCAGTTCACCTTAGCATGTTTTTTGGACCATAGGGGGAAACCCCCCCCGAAGACATGTGGAGAACATGCAAACTCCACACACGTAGACCCAATGCAGAGATTCAAGCATCCTCGTCCTCGAGGTGTAAAATGGTAAATGGACTGCATTTATATAGCGCTTTTTACTACTCTTACGAGTACCAAAGCGCTTTACAGTTATGCCTCACATTCACCCATCCACACTCACATTCACACACCGGTGGCGGAGGCTGCCATGCAAGGCGCCAACCAGCTCACCGGGAGCAATTTGGGGTTCAGTGTCTTGCTCAAGGACACTTCGATGGAGTCAGGAGGACCCGGGGCTCGAACCTGCAACCCTCCGGTTGCCGAACGGTAGCACTACCTCCTGCACCACCATCGCCCCTAATACTCACTTGGTGCATTTTTTTTGGTTACACTTCCTCCCTTAAGTGACTCATTTCTTTTTAATAACATCCCTGCAGTGTCACCTGTGGTGTGATAAATCCCTGGGAAGGACACAGGGTCTCGGAGACCACGACAGTGCACTCACCTGCCGGGTCGAATGGCAGGGCGTCCCCAAGAGCGCCGAAGCCCACATCACTCTGCTCCAGATTGGGCCACGTGTTGTTACGGGGGCTCTGGGGTTTCTGGCCCAGCATCTCTGATATGACGCCATCCATGTAGCTGCTGACCAGGCCTAGGCTGTACAGGTCCGAGCTGAGGTTGGGAAGGCCGGGCCCTCCCCACTGGCCCTGGTGGCCGATGGGGGAGATGCCCGTCGGGGGGCTTTGCACCGGGTGCTGGGTGGAGCTGCTCAGCCACTTGCTTGAGCCTCTCTGCTGCTGCTGCTGCTGCTGCTGCTGCTGTGAAGACAGCTGGGGCTGCTGACCAATGGGCTGAAGCAGATGCTGGTAATACTGCATGGCCTGCTGGGAGGTCGGCTGAGGCGTCCTTTGGCCCAGGGGCTGCATGCTGCCGTGAGACCCCACCGAGGTAGGGGGGGTGGCCCCGGAGGGGGGCTTCAGCTCGGCGGCGCTGGCCGACGCCACTGAGTTCCTCCTCTTCGCCAGCGGGGAGGCGTGCTGGGACTTGCTCATGTTGAACCCTGAGAGGAAGTCGATGACATCCTGCATCTCCTGGTCCGTGGGCAGGTTCATGCCCTTGTTGTGGGACTCGTGACCATTGGAGGGGCCGCACGGGGAGCCGGGCTCCGGGCTGCATGGCAAACTCCCCGGCGCGGGGGTGGCCTGCAGCCTGCTGTCGTTGCCACCCAGAGGTTTGGCCTTGTCCTCAGCGCCGGCGCCGGTGAAACCGCTACGGGACGGGGTGCTGTGGAGGGAGCAGCTGCCCCCCTGGGTCCCAGAGGACGAACTCTTCTTGGTGAGCTTGGAGGTGAGCCTGGAGATGGTCCTGGGCAGCCCCCCGGAGGACTTGGGCCCATTTCCAGAGGGCAGGTGTGCCAGCTCCGCACCCTCTGCGCTCTCCCTCTGTAGCTGCATCTGGATGGTGGGCAGGCCCTGCTCCCTTTCAGAGGCCAGAGGGGTGGAGAGTTACGCCTGGGCACTACGCTGTGGTACCACGCAAATAATCACAAACCACTCTGCCAGCTTTACTTAGATGGGGTCCAACCATAATGCAATCTCTGCTGCCCCCCCCCCCATTTTACCCATCTTTATTGCTACCTGCGCTCCCTCCACCGGCTGAGGTCAAAAATGGCGGTGTACAACACATCCACCAGGCCCAGGGTCTTCTCTGGGTCCAGGCTGCGCTGAAGAAGGGACATTGTAGCCGGATCCTCCTTCAGGCACCTGCAGAGTACACATTCAGAACCATCACATTAAGGTTCCCATACTGCTGTTAACCCAGAACTGTTTGTTTGTTTGTTTTTTTTTTTTACCATGTTGAAGGGACCTGCACCACAATTCTGGACTCTTCAAGGGTAATGTGGGGAGCGTAGGCCTCCTTGTTGTCAAAATGAGCCGTGTCAACCACCACCTATCCACAAACACGCAGAACATGCAAGATATTAAATCACCATTCTCTGCAAGGACAAAAGTCTAAAGTTTTTCATGTCAAGGTGACATCTCCATAATGGCGTGGTCACATGAGTGTCAGTACCGTGAAGTACCACATGGTGACCAAAACTGCCTGATGCTGCTGATTAACCAAGTCACCCAGCCACGGGCCCTTGGACCAAGGTGAGGCAGAGAGAAGAGGGAGCCAAAGATGGACGGAGAACGGCTAGCTCTCTATTGGACCAAGTCCTCTGCCGTGTGACTTCTGAGCACTCCCTTGTGATTGTGTCAATCTTGCACCTGAGGCTGGAAGCGTCCAATGAGTGACCAGAAACAAGTGCAAGATAAGTGTGAGAGATGGAGCAAATTCTTTGTTTTTTTTTTTTTTTTTTTTTTAAATCTACATCCAAACAAACGACATTTCAGCTGCCTGAGTCACTGCAGGTAGAGATGGATATCTTCATGGACCGAAACCTGCGCTGGAGTCATTTTTATATAAAAAAAAAGCACCCCCCCGTTACAGGACCGGGGTTTCCTGTCCCTCAGGAAGAAGGTCCATTGTTTTCTGGGCGGCAGGTGTGTCCTCCGTGGCTGCGGCTGACGGAATTCTGCGGGTGTCACCTACGGACTATGATGTCACCAACAAACTCTGTTTTTGGTTCCTTGTGGACAGCGCAGTAGCTCTACGGCCTCCTCACATTTCTCGGATTTGAACCCGTCCCCGTTTACGGGTGTGTGAAGACCTGCCAGTTTTGGTGTGGAGCTAGGCTGAATACCAGGGTTTCACCACAGGGCTCGTCCCACACGCTGCTCTGGGTAACAGCTCTCATAACAACAGCGTGACAGCGAAGATGCCGGGCCTTGAGACTCACCAGTCCCGCCTGGCCGAAGAGAAGCTGCACGGCCGTCTTACAGGCCCCTCTCCAGCTGGACGGGCACACCTGGGTGAGCACCTGGGAGACGGGCATGTCGTCGGGAGAGACCACGCCGTTCTGCCCCACTGCCGCTTTGATGAGCTGCAGCGTCGCATGCTGGGGTGACAGACACACCGGCGGAGGTTAACGTTTCCAATCACAGCAGGCCAGTCAATAAATCTGACAGCTGAGTAATTAAACTCTTAGCAGTGTGCCTCTCATACCAACCATGACTCATAAATGAAGCCACGGTGCAATAATACCAAGTAATTTAATATGAAGACAGATTTGTACTACAGTCATGGCTACAAACAAATATGGCTGACATAGGTGATGTAATAAGCAGTGAAAAATCGTGTAAAATAAGACCATGAGAAAAAGGGAAGTGGGGGTTAGGTTAGAGTCATGTGATTGTCATTGTTTATATTTATTTGTTCCACCTGTCCTCATTCCTTGGGTCTGTGTAAATCAGAATATTTTGCTGTAGATTTGACAGCACCCCCAGACTCCTAGTCTCCTACACATCATACATGAACAGCTGCATGCACGTGTCTGTCTTCCACTGGAGATAAACTCTAGCATTCTCCACCCCTCCATTCCAGCTGGCGGGCAGGGAGAAGCGACGGGCCGTACCATCTTCAGCTTGAGGTTGTCTGTGACGGACTCGCTGAGGGAGACGCCTTTGAGGAAGTGCGGCCCGATCTGAAGAGGAATGGTGGGTAGCTCACTCTGCAGTGGCTGGGAGAGCGTCTGAAGCCGGCCTGCCTGCTGGGCCTCTGCCTCACTGCAGCAGCCCTGTGGCACAGAAAGGGCAGCTCCCCATCAATGTCCATACCCATTACATACATTTGTTGTATATCACTAGATCAGTAGTTCCCAATCCAATCTTTGGGGACCCACAACCAATCCATGTATTTGCTCCCCCCGAGCTTCCTGCCAGACAGTCCACATTTTTGCCCCCTCCCAGCTCCCGGTAGGGAGCAAAAGTGTAGACTGTCTGTGGGTCCCAAGGACCGAATTACGAAACACTGCACTAGAAAGACAATCTGATTCAACTAATTATGGCCTTTGGGATTGGTCGATTAGCTTAATCAGATTGTCTGGTGGTCAAAATGACCAAACATGTAGAATGCCTGGTGGGCTCAGTGAGAGATTCTGGGCTCAAATCATAAACAATGAGACTTGCTGCTTTGAAGCACCATATGATTGATATAAAAGAAGGTGCTGTACCTGCAAAGACTCTTCAATAGCCTTGGGGTCAAGGTGAAAACCAGCCTTCAGTGCATATTCACTGTACCCGAGGCCATCCAACGCCACTTTATAAACCTGGCAGAAGCAGAGAGACTCTGTTTTAACATACGCATGAATACCTACCCAAGCCTTCACTACTTGCGTGGCTTTAATGCACACAGAATGGGTCATCCCATGCCTGGTAAAGCCTGAATCACTGAAGACTCATCTGCAATCCTAGACACACACCACAACACACCAAACTGGGGGTGTACTTGACTGTACTCATGTTTTTGTGTACCCATCTATTGCTGAAGACCAGTTCCAACACTTAACATCAGAAGTACAGAGGATGGTAAAAATCTGTATATTGGTCTTGCTCCACCCCAAATATCAAGGATACATTGGTTGCATCCTCATCGAACGAGACAAATCCCATGATTTACTGGGCCCAAAGATCACTCTTGGGAGACAAGTTAGCAAGACCAGTTGTGCCAAGACCAAAAGTATGATCTTTGCATTCTTGGTACTGAGATTCACTCCAGGAGACGAAGCCCAGCTGGGCGCGGCTTCAGACTCCACCTGCGGCCTACCTGCAATGCACTGTCAATCTTCACATTGAGTTCTTTCAGCTGGTGTTCAGGGATGGTGGTGTTAATGGAGCAGAAGAGCTGCCGCACCTCCAGGCCCGGCAGGGAACCGTCACGCCCCCTCTCCCTCAGGCGACCTGTGACCTGAGGAATATCGTCAATGGTCACATGGGGTCATCCTACAGTCTCATCGCTGGTGACCCACCTGACACCTCAGCTAGCATGCGTGCGGGGAGGATATGCTGATCTGCGTATTGCCTCACCTCGATGGGGAGGCTGGCAGCAGACCAAGGCAGTGATGGAGCGTGTGAATGTTTCTACGGCACGTCAGTAAGGGCAGGAGGGCGCTCCAACTAGCAGGGATTTGCCACTCATCGTGAACAGTGAGAGTGGGTTTGAGGTACCAGGAAAGCCCCATGCCTTTGTCCTCTTTGGGCCAGAAAAAGAAAGGGATTTGCTGGCAATGCAGGGTGGTGAGACCGCAGTTTGGCTGTGCTTCCCTCCAACAAAGGCCTCTGACTGACACAGCCACTCTGTCAGAGCGAGCAGATGAAAGGACAGCCGAATGCAAGCAGGCAGTATGCAGAGATGGCATCCAACTGGCCAATGGGTTGGCGCCTACAGAAACTGCCCCAACTGGAAAGCGACAGCATCCATAAAAACAGGGACCTGCCACGCTCTGCCCAAAATCACTGTGCGTTATGAAGCGCAAAGCAGACTGGGAAACTGACAGGAGCACAGTTAGCGTATTAGCTGTGGGACACAAAACTGCTACGATTTAACGGCCAGGGGAAGTGAAACTGCATAATAATCAGAACAATAAATCTGATGAGTGAATTGAATGTATGACCAGGTCTCTAATAGCAGGGATCTTAAAGGAAAGAACAGGAAATTTCAAAATGGCAAATAATCCGAAACAGACTTCCGTAAAAGAAAAAAAGACATGGAGTCAGCTGCAGGCAAATCAGTGACAAAAGGAACCGAAAAAGAAATGGGGCCGTTTCCAAAGTGCCCGTGTGCAGTGCTGTGTTGGGTATAACGACAACATGAGATCGTGTGGTAATAAATACAAGCAAGTTTTGCCAGCTTCATCAACAGCTTCTCTTCCAGGCCTGTAATGATACTGAACACTTTGCTGGCTTGATTACCACTTACCTGAGCCTAAAATACCACCCCCCTGCCTGGCGCTGGGCGCATTACTATTTATTGCCGGTTTATGGATACTGTCATATTTATTTTACTGTCCTGCGATACACACCCGGGTATTGTGTGTATATAGACTTTCCAAAATTACCTCCAGGGATGGATTGATGGGTCAGTTGATTGATTGATTGAATAGGTAGGTAGTAGGGGTGGAGCCGAACCCGAATACGGTATTCGGAAAGGCACAAATAATGTGTTTTTTACGAATACTTATTTCGAACAAATACTTAAAAAAATATTTGTATTCGGGAACAAGAAAAACCTTATATCAAAAAGCTGCGTTTCCTCTTGAGACCGCAGTGCATGCCCGGATGAGTGAGTGAGTGAGTGAGTTCAGGAGTCGGGAGGGGAGTAAAAGAGGTGACTGACACAGGCTGCTCCACACAGCAACAGAGAAGGCTCGGCTGAGCGAAAAAAGACTTAACTGTATCACTATTTTTGTTGAATAGATTTTTGTACCTTAACTGGGTTCCGGAGGCAGTTTATAACTTTCGGGAAGCAGAGTTTGATCGGGAGATTATTCCATTACGCTGCATTATTGACGTCTGCAGTCAGGTGCTCTCATGTTCGCTCTGTTTACGTAGCTCTGTTAGCTCGCTAATTTAGACAATAGGCTGTTGACAGAGTAACGTTAACGTTTGGTTAAAAAGGTTAAAACAATGCTTGTGTAGTTGTGTCGAATTATATGCACTTGTAGGAGTTATATGGTACGTTTAAGTTACTCTGTCTACTGCATATCCATAATTATTATAATGGATATAATTAAAGAATACTTACACTATAGCGTAAATTAGAAGTGCAACGCAAAAAAACTTTACTCGAATACGAATACAAATACAAATACTTTTCCCTCCTCAACAAATACAAATACAGATACAAATACCAGCTGCTTTGCACACCCCTAGTAGGTAGATAAGTCTCTCTGTCTCTCTCTCTCTGCCTCTCTCTCTCTGCCTCTCTCTCTCTGCCTCTCTCTCTCTGCCTCTCTCTCTCTGCCTCTCTCTCTCTGCCTCTCATTGTGCAAATCAAATTTGTGGGTAAGCACCATTTAAAAACCATATACAAGACATTAAAAATACAAATACATTGGAATACGAATTTAATTTGTTCAGAACTCTGGATCGAATCCTAAAAAGTTCAAGTTGTGATCGAATTTTCCCCATAAGAAATAATGGAATAATGGCCCCAAAAAATTACACCTAAATATGTTTTTTTTTTTTAGGATTTAAACACATCATTAAACACTCATTTCCCCACGCGTACAAGTTATCTTAGGTCGGCGTTCACGGTTTGACTTCTGAGATTCAGATAGAGTTCTAGGTAATTTTTTTTCGAACTTCGATTCAGATCGAGTCCTAATGAGTTCGAGAACTGAGGTACCACTGTATACAAATATTAATGTCCTGGAAACTTTATGTAACTATTATACATTGTAACATGTCCAGCAAATGACAAATGTTGACGTGATGACTCATTGATGATGTGCAAGAATGATGTGGGATGAGGGGATTAAAAGATGCAATCTAACAGAGGAAGCTCGCTCATTGGCCAGATTACCCTGAATGCAAGTTTACTGCAAGTTTAGCAATGTGGTATTAACAGTAGGCACATCACTTGCTCACTGAACAGTTAATTTATGTTACATTTTTACAAAATATTGGGTAGGCACATGCATTCCTAAATTGATTGGCACAACACCACTTATTTATCTAGACTTAAGCCCAACCTCCTTGACTTGCACCAGCAGGTGTTTTTGGAAAATTATTACAGATCCTTTTTTTTGTCGCTTGCTATCTGCTTGATCTTGAGGGGAGGGGGGTTGGGTGGAATGTTCTCATGCCATTGTATGTAAATGGTATAACGATAAAAAGCCACCTAACTTGAAAGGCAAAAAGTTAATAAAAACAAAAAGAGCACAGTGACGATACTAAATCTCCACGTTAATCATGGGATGCAACCACATACCGCTGCTGCAGCTCTCCAGGACCGCGAGGCCTCCTCCTGCTCGGACAGGGGCCCGACAGGGGTGCTGCTGTGTAGCTCCTGGGCCTGCGCCAGGGCCTCCACCAGGCAGGACTGTGCCACTGGCTGCCCCTTCTGTAAGGCCTGTGACAGGAACTGGAAGTGCACTTGCATGACCCTCAGGAAACACCGGCTCAGCACCTGCGCAGGAACACACAGCCGCCATTACCGTGGTGACATGGGCACCACACCACACTTAGGTTACCAAGCACAGCACACTAGTTACACTGGGTGTTAGTTAGACAGCCACCATGCAAGCCTGTGCAAAAATGTCAGTTGTCTTATCATAAAATACAAATTTATTCAAAGACATTAAATATCACCCATACAATATTTCTTTAATTCAGAGTGTGCATTATAGAAAAGTATCACTTACTGATCCCAAAACAGCATTTGTAGAAGTAACTGTGCATGATTTCCCCAGCTACCATTTAAAGGAATAAGAGAGGGAAAGACCTGGATGATTCATATTGTCCTAAAGAACTCCATCTAAGGCAAAGCCAGGCTCCCCTTTGCGGCACGCTGCCATTGCACACTTAACGGAGAGGACTGATGGGGGCACTGCAGGAAAGCTCCCTGCCATTCAGACACCTCCTCTAAGCCCAGCTTTAAGAATCTACCCTAAATCAGAAGTGGAAGGGCAGCACAGTCAGAAAGGCAGCTATTTATTCATGCGGTCATTTTTGGACTCTCTTCATCTGTATTAAGACGATTGATACACAAATCCAATATGAAGGGAACATGATCCCACATTCAAAAACACTGCAGAATGAGGTGCTTCTGTTCCCTCTTCCACTATAAGATTCACCTGAAATGCTAAGTTCAGATCTCCATCACACGGTAGAAGCAGGTTCCTAGAGTCTACGTTTTCCCAGATGCGAAGCAGCATTTTTTTCTACTACAGTCTGTAGGACTCGTCCTCAGCATTCTTCAATGGCTTTAAACCAACACTGATGCAGGAGAAACGGAACAAACCCTAGAAGTAAGTGGGAGAATGTAACGACTGCTTACTTTGGTTTATTAATTTGCTTCACCACTTCTAACTCTGAATGGACATCAGTGTTTCTCTGCCCGGTCTTCTGCGACCAACAAAGACGGCCCAAGTATTTGTTCCCTCCCAGCTCAAAATCATGGACTGTCTGGGGTTTCCAGGGGACTGGGCTCAGAAACACTGATGTACATCGTTTAACAGGGCACCATTACACCCCCATTCCATGCTGTGGTACTTACCCCCGTGGCCATGTTAACAAAGCAACATAAGTAACTATAGGCCTTTGTTAAATGAATAAACCAATTTGACAGGAGTCAAAAACTCAGCACCTAGCAAGAACAAAATAAATATTTCCTATCTTGCAGGTTCTGAGCATGGTTTGTTAAACTAGGTAAAGTTCATTTGCCATCTGAATGGAACAAAA